GTTTGCTTCATCGACAATCCCATTACAAAATGTTATATGGGAAAATGCCTGGCCTTCCTTTAAATTCACATCTGCCCTATGACCCAAAAGCACTCGTGGCAACGTGGCGTAGTGGTTAACCTGTATATATTATACGCTGCATTGCATGGTTCGACTCTCGCTAAGGATAGTAATAAGACCTATGCGAGGTCGGAACTGTAGTCAACCTTGGATGAGAATACCTTTTAAAAGAACAGGTCTAAGCGAAATTCAATGAAAACGTCATGCTTACTCATATCGCTGTGGGAAAATTCAACTGTCAGTCCTTCATCACCTTAAGGGAAATAGATTGAACACAGATAATATATTAGAAGTATTTATGCTTGATCGAAAGATTGTAGAGGGCGTTGCGTCACCATCCAAAAAAAGATGATTCAACTTGTCAACCCAGTGATCGTTTTAACCGCACACATACTCCTCCAACAGATGTATTAAGCTAACTAACCAAATGAGATGGTCGAGATTACGCAATTCCAATCAAATCTTTGTTTTTTCACCAAACTTCAATAACCCTAGACTAACGGGTTATGACTGTTGGTTTCGTAACCTGACTTTCACGCACACAAGCTTACATCTCATCAACTCAGCCAGATCTAGTTGCGGGCTTATTTGATCTCAGTCACACTTTCCCTTAAATAATTAAGCCATGAGGACATTGGGCTGACGTTAGTAGTTTTTCTGGCCGGTGTTGCGAATATACATTAATACATTGGCACAGAAAGTCACACTCAAGTATAAGATTAAATAAGCCATGTTATATCCATGAATTTTTAAATATTTTTAAGTGATGAATATGTATAGCATGTAGGATAGAGCCAGCAAGTCTTATGTTAACTTAAAACTTTTGCAAGAATGAGTACCAGCTCTGATGATGTTCGACATATGAAGAACACAAGCTCAATCTATTTTTACCCGAAGTGAGAGAGGATTTTTCGTGGACTGTGTAAACATGAATCTCCTGGTAAAACCAAACGGATGCAGTACAAAGGGAATTAGCTTTCGTCTGTTGGTGTGATCGACCTATGAACCTCTTTATCATACACTTCCATATGAGATGAATGTCTACGCAACAATGCTAATTCAGGAGCCTGAATGAAACCAGATTTTTCTTAATATAAGATGCTGTAAGAATAAATAAAGATATTGTTGAAGGTATGAAAATGATAACACGACCATTCAACAATCAAGCATCAGTGTTACTACTGCTTTATTAGACAGTATTATGAGATTATACTACAAAAAGCCAAGTGGTATAAAGTAGAAAAATGATAGCAAAACATGGAATTCAAATCAATAAAAATTTCAAGAAACAGAAGAGACAGCTGGTCACTTGATAATCTTTTCGGTAAATAAAGTACAGAGTCGCTGTATCCCAAAGCCATAGGTCTGTACATAGTGGATCAGGATATGGCTTTATTGCATTATAGTAAAAATGTATATGTGAATCAGAAACTCACCTAGAATCCCGCGAGCGATGCACAACCAGGATTATCCGTTCTAAACAAGGCTGAGTCAGAAAAGGTAGCAAGATACTAGAAATTGAAATGTAGCCTGGCGGCAGACCGTTTATAGGATCTGAGGTCGGGGGACGAAGGGGTGAGTGTGTGGCACGAGCAATAGGACTTTTGCAAAGGTCGAAAAGATAGAGTATAAATTTCCGGGGATGAGCAGGTCGTGGAGGTCTCGTTGGGAAAAGATAAACCGATCTCCCTGAATGGTCGTCTTGTAGTGCAAGAGGCAGACCTTCGTAACTTATCTTTCTTATCCTGAGGAAAGCATAAGTGTGAAGCACCTACATGGTTACTAGCAGGAAAATGTTTATCTTGACTGGGCCGGGCCGCAATCTTGACTGGACTAGTAACATCAGGAGGATAAGTGAAGTCAAGATTAACAGATGCTAGTATTTCAGCAGATGATGTTTTGTCAGGTTTATCAGAGAAGGCCATTATTTCATAATTAGTTAAGGAGTCATCATTGCCGCACCATGAACGCCAAAAACATGGTTTTTCAAGGCCTGGGGCCAGTCCACTTCTCAATTGTCCCAAAGAAAGACAGGCGAGTAAATTCGATGCCTTCTCTGTTATCGGAGAAGCTGGACGTTGGGCGTGGCAGAGAAGGGACTGTCGACGGCGATGTGTGATGCGAGGCAGCTCGAAATCAGTGTATCTCAGAGACCGAACCGGGATAGGCATTGAGACTGCCATGAAAGAGAAAGTGTAAAAAAGGGCTAGAGCTGTATGAAAAATATAATTAAAACTTAGCTATCCTATCACCGTAAGGATGATACAAGCTTAAAAGTCTGGACCAAAATAAAGAGCGGTGTTATCTGGGACAGTCTGAAATTTGAAATAAAAGATAGCGAAGCCTGAAAAAAGGAAAAAGGAATGCTAGTATCAAATAAAAGTAGCAGGATGCTATCGAAAGGAAAAAAATGAATATATTTAAGAATGTTGGTATTCAAACGATATTTTCTTATACAGCGTATACTATACAACAAATAAATGAATACTATAAGTTAGTGGCTGCTGGCTCGGCGTTTCTAAGGGAATAATTCAGGTCGATAACAGCTTCAATCAACTCCACTATTCTTAGATAAATGTGATAATTATTCCAAAACTTAAGCAGGAAAATCAAATAAATGATGTTATGATTCCTTTGTTGGTCGGAGTCTCCTTTCGCCGAATAGAAGCAGTTAATTTGACAATATGCCCTTGTTGCGAAAAAGAGGTAAAGCCACTTTTAGAATAGGAAAACTTCATATGAGCGAAATAAAAAAACAGGATGTGCTGATTCCCTAGTTACTAGGGGCGCGTAGTAAGCTACAACCAGAATTAAAAGAGTTTAAGTGAAAATCGCCAACAGCATAGTTGACGAGAAGCTCTCGAAAAATCAAGACATTAACAGGCCTAGCCTTTAACGCTAGTAAGAAGAGTGACTAAGGGAATTTACAAAGATCAATTTGGGAAAATAGGATAGCTAATTTATTTTGAGATGGGACGAAGTTTAGTTAATATTTTCTGTCAAGCTTGCTGAATAAAATGCAATCTATATACCAGGAGCCAGGAATTCGGTTGGTTAATCAATTGAAAACTTTATTGTTGGGATGCTCGCGATGAAATAAGAAGGCCTAAATTATAAAAAATGCTAATTTAGTAAGCTCGTTGGAAAGGGTGTGATTTCACTACCTTATAAGCAGCACTACAAACCAGAAAGAACTATTCGGTTTCCACTAATTAGCAACTTGTACCTAATCCGCTACGTATTTAAGTGGGAATAAGATCTAAATGGCCTATGAGGACAGATCTCTCCAAATTAACATTAAAATTTTGGATCAATGCATAAATATCATTAAATTTAGTTGTAACTATGACTTTGTTTTGATGGCAGCCATCAAATTAAAAAGACGAACTGAAAAGAGCCTAGAAGTCGGCCGACCTCGTTGTCGCAATTTGGTCTTGTTGTCAGGGGGACTTAGTAGACAGACCTAGTCCGAAGTCGTCTGGCATAGTAGTTGTCATAATTCCCAGCGTCAGACGTTTCGACGGCATCGTAGTCGGCATCATCATTGAATATTGCCATTCTCCGCACCAAACTACGAACTCGTCAAAAGACAAGTAAAGTCAATCCCTCGACAATGGTTTGCCGAAAACATTTTAGAATGTACCAGGTCGACTGCCTGATACTGAGAATTAGGAAAACTGCTACGACAGACGACTTCGGACTAGGCGCGTTCTACTAAGTCGTCCTGACAACAAGACCAAGTCGCAGCAACGATGTCAACCCAATTCTATAAATCGAAAAGAGACTACAACCATACCAGAGGCCACACCATCTTGGTCTTCATAATTTCAATGAAAATAGCCTATTTTACTTTTCATATAAGTTAAAAGCAAAGTCATATTTGCCCTATTATTAATTTCTATTATGGTGATTTTGCCAAATTATAAGGCTATACTATCTAACGGGAACGTTTTAAAATCCCAACGAAGGAATTCATGAAGCTTAAGTAAAGTCGTAAGTATAATCCACTTTGAGTGAAAAAGCTTTTTAGAAAAAAGGCCGTGTGGCCAGTGAGAAAGTGAAGCCGTCTCATCAAGAGTTTTAATGAATCAGAACAATACTCATTATAAATATGTGTTTGGCTTCGCGTTACTGTATAGAATACCCTAGCCTTGTATAGAGGAACAAGAAAACGAGTGCCTTGTAATTAAGAATGAAAGTTACATACGGGGATCATGATATGGGCAGAAACTCAGATGATGGTGAAGTGTGGTGTTGGTGTCCCCGTGGGACACAGTGCCACTGATTTATGCTCAGCTTGGTGTTGTATGAGTCAAGATATAACTGTGAGAGGTAGCCAAACGGATTGTGGAGTAAAATTACTATAAATTCTTTATCAGGTCATAGATTATCAAAGAGTTATATGGTGACCAGGATTGTATAAAAATGTGTTATTTTCGAGCGCCAATAAACTACTCAACGAATTAACCAGATGTACATGGAATATAGTGCAAGCTTTTTCTATGCCCAATGCGTAATAGAAATTCGATGGCAAAATAAGAAATATGAAACAAGTATTCAACCTTACTGTGTAAGCCTTATAAAGTAAAGCATTTGAAATGCCTTATGCAGAATAAATAGCTATATAGTATCTATATGATCCACATTCGCAAATAATTTTGATGTACCCTGAGACGAGAAGTGGTTGCTATTTGGTAAAAAAAATAAAGAATGTCTATGCAACCCAGGTTAGCAAATTTATTAGTATTTTCACTCTTCGTTTTGCGTAACTTAAATGAACACATGTTCTTTTTATTCTATCATACTATACCATTAATCTGCTTTGCTAGTCAGTTGCGGTGGAACCTTGTGGCCCAGTAACAAATTTATAGAGACAGTGAGAACAATCTTATTTACTAATAGAGGAGCCCCAACGATGCAGAAAAAACATTTGCACGAACAAGATCAGGCTACATGAACATATCGCCAGAGATGAATTTAATCAAAATATTGTCCAATAACAAGAATGACGAAAAGTAATGGTAAAAGAAACAGGAAAAATGCTCAGCCTTAGGCGTTTAATGAAAACTTCGATGAGCCGTAGCTTTATTGCTTTTGTCGGCTTTCATCTGATTGATGTTGCCGAATAGAATGCTAGTGAAACGTTAGAGGGTATTTGAAGGTAGGAAGACCAAGATGGTGTGGCCTTTTGTGTGTGCCTTGACGGAGGTCCGATAATCAAATAACAATACGCAACCATGATAGAATATGGCAGTGTGAAGTAATACGATCAAGTAATGAAGACTAAGTTGAACCCATCCTTTAAAAAAACTTAACCCAATTATTCTGGTTAATATATGAACGTGTAAATGGCCAATATCTTATGCTTGCAGATCTTAATGGAGTTTAAGCCAACAATTGAGTGCCATAATTAAATTTCATCACACCCGTTTAAGGAATATAGAGGTCTATGTTGACGGCAGAAAGCGGAGTAAGAAGAACGTCTAAACAAAGGCTTACCTAATGACAATCGAATGTATGACTTGACAATTTTCTGATAAGTCCAAAATGGGCCCATATTTTGAAAATACGTGTGCACCTTAATATAACTGATGTATTATGAGACACATAGACAATAGTAATCTGTTTGCAGATATAAAGGTAAAGAACTAATGGTCAGGCTGCTAGTCATACACTTCATTCAAGCAGTGGCAAGATGAATGTTTGACGTCTGCCCAAGGATTGAAAGCCCAGTGCGGGATGAGCCTCTAGCCATAGAATGGAAATTAATAGTACTAGTTTTATTAAAAGAAAACATAAGAAGATGACACTTTCCATTTCTCGTCCCAATGGTTTGACTAGAGTCCAACCAGTAGCTGCTATAGGCGGGCTGTAAGCACCATCGCAGCAAAGCTGGCTCATTGCTATCTTATGGGCGTTGAAAAAGATCGAGACCCCTTTCTTCGACAGAATTCGAGCAAATGAATCTTATGAAAAGCCGAAATCGGGATGCGATCATGACTTAGCTTCTTGCAGCCGCCTCATTTTGATTTTAACTCAGGCGAGGCATCAGCTTGACTTATTCAGTGGCATCACTTTCTGGCAGACCTAATTGCATAAGTACATAAGACCTAAATACATAAACATTATGTATAAAAAAAATATTAATGCACCTACGCGTAGTCCCAAGAAGGTTATATGCCACATATGGAGCGACTTATGGTGGCGCTTCTTCAG